TAATTATATCATTGTAATTATTTAAAACAACAGATATGTTTTTTATTTAAAGGGTAATAATATAATAATTTATATAAAGTTATTTTTAACTATTGTTATGGTAAGTTATTTTAAGTTATTTATTTCAAAACTTTTATTTTTTATAAAAATATATTTATGAAATATTTTTGTGAAATTGATATTACAATTTAGTTTTTGCATTTAGTACTACAACTTATCAATTTTAACTATTCACAAATTTTTTTTGGGTTTTTTTAAATGGAACTAAAATTTATATTGAAGTTGACCCTGTAATATTATATTTAAATAACCAATATAAGCATTTTGTCCAAATTGTTCAAAAGTTGTACGTTTAAAATGATAATGATTTAATTTCAACAACGTATTAAATCTAATAAATTAAGTATAATATGTTAAAAGTTAAAGACATAAACACCATTAGAAAAACAGTCTTTTACGACGCGCAATGCATGTCGTAAAACGCTCAGACGACGCGCAAATGCGCGTCAAGGAAGAGCCTGTCATAACGAGAGACGACACGCTTTTGCGTGTTGTCTATAAACGACGTGCATTTATGACATGCAATGCGTATCATTAAAACTCCTGTCAAGAAAGGTCATGTCATAAATGAAGATGACACACATGTTTGCGTATCGTAAATTTAAATGTTTAAAAAAATTAAATTTATATATTTATTAATTTTTAAATTAAATTTGCATTTAATTTCTCATAATAGAAATAAAATACCATGTACAAAAAATACAATCCATTGCACAATATAAAATTAAATTTCATACTCAAAAAATAAATTAAATTGCACAAATTATAATATGTGATACAAAGAATCATTCAAATGTTAAACAAAAATAATACATTGCTAACATGGGTTATACATTCCTATAAAACTAACAAATAATCATACAACTTTGTTTCTTACTGGAATATGTGTGTAATTGTCTCCTTCATCAGCCTCCATGTCCAAAGTCGGATCTATCTTCCTAATTTGGACGTATAACAAAGACACATGTGTTAAACTTGTTACCATTAACATCTGATTCATAAGTCCTTTCAACAAGATTTTTACCTGTATAAATGAAAACCAACAGGAACATTAACAGCCCAATTATGAACAATTTCACAGGATGCCAAAAGTAATGATCATTAATAAGTCCTTTCAAGGATAATTTGGTATGGATAGAAGATTAAACTAAATAAAATCATAAAGAATCTAAAAAACAATTGTTATAATGGTGGACCTTGTCATCTTCATCTGTGCTGCTTTTACAATCTACTTGGTTGATGAGAGGAAGGAAAAATTTTCATCAAGCAAGTTCATAGCTTTATCAAAATCGTTCATGAACTACATTTATAAATTCATGCTTTTAAAATGTAATTGTAACAAAATGTAGATATAAAATTATAAAATATTAAAAAAAGTATCCAACCTTGTATCTTAAGTGCGCTGTATCAACAAGTTCCCATTGGTGTCTACACTTTTCATAACTCCAATTAGTGCCTGATCTTGGTAAATCAATCTACTCGGGATGACCAAACTATATAGAAAATACATTTTTAAATATTAATATATCATGAGAGAATAAAAATATTTTTTTTATCTTCTAAATTATAAATAGTTTTCTACGTAATCTTACCTCGTTTCATATTTTAAAAGACTTATAGGTTTAAAAAAAAAAAGGGGTATCAGATTAGAATATGACTCATGTTCTTTTTGTTGTGAATAGTTTCAGGTTCTGAAAAACGGACACGTTTTCTCATTGGAACTACACAACTTTTGATGTTGGCTAACTATCAAGTACAACCAACTATCACGTTTGAAAGGTTGGATTACATTTTTTGAGATGAAGATTTTCTAAATATGCATCTCATTTTATTAATATCTTGTACTTTTCCACCTGAACCAATATATCTAGTGGTATTAACTATAAGTACAACCAACAAAAAGGGATCTGTACAATTTTAATCCTCATTTGAATTTTTTTAGCACTTTAGGTCTCTATCCCAAGTAATAACCTGAATTGACAAAATTACTTGTAACGAAGGACCAAAAGCATAACTCGTGCTAATTTAATAAGGAAAAGAAATTTGGGTATTCAAAAATAGGGATTTAAAAAGGCACAAAGGTGAAAAACTTGGTAATTACCATTAATTTAAGAACTGTCACCCTCAGAGTAATCAGAACCAAATGATACATCCTCTCCAGGAAAAGCTTCCAATACTAGACAAATTTGACCACATTGGTCAACCTCATTAGACCCTTGTGAAGATTTGTTTCAAGTGTAGTCAACTAAATGGAAACATGCACCATGATTTAGCACTCTATTGTTCCTACAACACCAAATACATTTCATTATTACAAAAAGAAAGCAAATACTGTGACACCTAAATTTTTGCAAAAATTTTAAACTTTTAAAACCCATCTTAGAAGGACTAAAGGTTAGAAAGGAGAAGTAATGAAGCTATGAGTTGAGAAAAGAGTAATCACAGCAAGGTCTCTAAAACAGACCTGCTATTCAAAACGCATTTACTCCAAAATCTAAAACAGAAACATAGCTTTAACTAAATTTTATAGGAAACTATCATTGTTCAAGATTCCATAACTATAAATAACTCCTTCTAACTCCAAAGGATGAATTAAATCTGAATTTTACAAAAAGATGTATCACTTCTGTCTCCAACAAGACAGTCAAGTGAGGTTGGCCAATTCTACCCAACTTGTGAGTAGAATTCGTCCAAACCAAAATTCAGAAAAGTTAAGGACATACAAATGAAAGTCTCAGAGTTGGAATTGAATGAAAATCATTTCCCAAGCTCCAGATATAAAATTCACATTGTGGACAATCACAACACTGGTAAAAGTTGGTGACTGCCCACTGATCTGGAGTGTGGATCCATTCTAACCAATTTATAATTGGAAATAACACCCCATATGCTCCATATCTTAAATTCATAATATCGGGAACATATAGAAACTTGGAATCACTTTGGATCCTTTTCCAAGCCTTAGAAATGATGAAAACAAAATGACATATCAGAACAGACCCGGATCAGACCTAACAGCAAAGATGCCATTCTTGCCCATAGATAAGGTCCTTATCAGTGAGGTTGGCCTACTGAAGAAAGTTAGCCAACTCAATTTGTGAACTTTGGGAACTAGTTTGGGGTCCATTTGAGTTCTATAGCTCAAGGTATGATTTTTACAAAATGACTACAGATCTGATGGAAAATAGAATCGTAGCCATCCGTGATTCCTTTTTGGCTTATCCATCCTTCTCCCTTTGAAACACATTTTAAGATGTGTTCATCATTCCAATTTAGTCCCCATGATCATGGTGGTACTAAAAAGGTTTAGATATCATTAGTATTTCATTTAGCCACAAGAATGTAATAATAATAATAATCAACATGAAATTAAACATAAAGCACAAAAAAAAGACAAATATCTGCGATGGATGCAACCAAGAGCTAGAGCAATTGATCCATCATAATGCTCTGGTGCGCCAGTTACATCATTAAGCAGTGATCGAGTATAGTCAAAACAAATTAATAAATGGATCATAATATTTTTAACACATTCTAAAATGAAATAAATAACAATATCAAAAATTTACCAATCTGGCAGTAAACATATCATTTCCAAGGCGAGCATATTGTCATATTGGTCTTATGTTTATAGAGTTAATGCTTTGCATATTGTCATATTGTCTGATGAGCATAAGGTTTTTCATGTTCAACCGTGAAATCGCAACACAAGATGTATATGATAACAAAACGATATAGCCTGCTTCACAACTACGCGCTTTATTTGTAATACATTCACGATCTGATGTTGCTGGAGCTGCATGTTGTTTCAACCCCATTCTGGTGTTTCTAGATACAAAAAGCCTGATGTCATAAAAAAGGAGCCATTATAGGACAAATATACAATCACTTACAAAAGATTGGATACAAGGCTATTATCGGGAGTCTGAAACTCAAGCAATTGTGAATTAGCTACAAGTCCTGGTGAAAATTTGGTCCATGCAACTCTTATAAATCTCATAGGCTCTTGGAATACTCATACTCCTTGGCCTTTGATCCCCTGGTGCTGTTTATTTTGATTGTTACTATGTTCTTTTACCTGGATGTTTATTTAACCACAGTTTTGTGCATTGTCTTTGTTGATATATATGTACTCTGTCCAGTTTCACGTTGGCTTATTTTTGTTAATTTTAATACTGTCTAGCAGAAATCTATATTGGTAATTACTGACACGGATATTTTTACGGTAAACTATCACTGATTTAAATACATCTTACATTACCCTTTTTAAGGTAGTGTCTTAATTTATTTAAAAACATCGGTTCTTGAATATCAAGGTTACATGCGACAACTCCGATTATTTATTCCCATATAATTAAAATTTTTAAAACTACTCTTCAGTATCATATTTTGGATGTTTATCGGATTTCTTTCCCTTAATTAACTTGATGTATATGTCCTTTTCCATATGGTGGTGCACATTTCAAAACATAATCTCATGAGCTGAATTTTTAAAAACCAAATGGTTGAATTTGTCTCATCTGATGGAAGTGGCTGCATGCCATGTTTCAGCTGCAGTCCGATGTCTTTTCCATACACGAAAGGGAAAATGACTTTGGTTTTAATCGAATAAAAATCTCTATTAATAGTCGTGGTAACTTGACTCATGGTTTAGGTATAGAGGTTAATTATTGATTTATTTCTATTTGTATTTTATCTACGAGGGAACAAATAGAAAAATGTTCAACATTCAAGATGATCATATATATTATTAACAACACGATAATCACATTAAATAATATATCTTGTTCTACATGAATTCATTTTTCATCCTTCCCATTCGATCAGCAGATCGTTTCTTTAGTCCAAGAAGTTGCATTTCCCACACTTTCTTCCTATCATAGAAACTGAATTGAGGACCCGAACCACATCCAAAACATTCAACCATGTTCAATTCCTGATCATACACTCTCCGAGTATTTTGGATCAGAAAGAACTTCATAGGCCTTGTGTAACTCCACGAATTGCTTTGTGCGTTCATCTGTAATGGAAGATCGACATACATCAGGATGAAGTTGCAGAGCCTTGGCTCGATATGCCTTCTTGATCTCATCCAAACTAACATTCCGGGATTCCAATGAAAGAAGTTTGTACAGATTTTGGTTATGCATGGGCAACTCCTTGGCCATGCATGATATGCTTGTGCTCTTGTAGCTGTAAATGTTTCTCTCTCTATCGAACATTAAATTCCTTTTCTGTAACACCATATTCATCTTCATAGAGACCACCATTGTTGTAAAGAAGAAGAATACCAAGTGAAAGATGGTGGCTTACACGAGGTGAGTGTTCCTCTATATAAAGGAAATGGTTTACAATGCAACCACTCCTGTTCGAATAAATGGGATGAAATTGCCTATTTTACTACATCTAGGAAATGAATATAGTATTGATGGCAAAATGGGCCTGCAGTTGGATAACAGGTTTAAGAAAAGAAGTGGTAAACCATAATTATCTTTTTTTTTTTTTTCAAGATTTTATTTATTTATTATTTTATGATGGTTTTCAAAAAAAAATTAATTAGGAAATTTTCAGGTAAATCACCCAAACACGTGAATGATAGTGATTTTCTTGTTTACTAATTTGACTAATTATTCATAAAACATAAATCAAAAATTGACCCATTTCTGTTTGTCCACACTCTAAATGCACCAATATAAAATATTATCAAAAACAAATTACTTATATAATTTCAATATTGTGGTAAATCGTCGACGAATTGTATATTGAATCTTAAATTGGAACTAGCAGTAGTCTTGTATATGGTGTGGATGTACTTGGCAAAAAATTATGTCTTAAATATATTCATTCACATTAGCACATATATAGTCGTCTTAATTAATAACATTATCTTTATCTTGATATTCAATCTAAAATGTCATTTTGGACTCTTTTTAAAAGAATAAGACAAACCCTTCGTTTTTATATAATAGTTTCAATGGACTTGATTGCTGATATTAGTAAAAAATCAAGTCTTTATTTTCTCAATGGTTGAAAGAGTCGTCCAGGGTGTCAAAATTTCGTTGGGTTTTATGTCGTTTATTGCAGCATGAGACCCCCTTGGTTCAGTTTGAAAACCCAGGAGCTTTTGGTCAACTTCCGTAAAAGAAATAAAAACTAAAACACACACACATATATATATATATATATATATATATATATATATATATATATATATATATATATATATATATATATATATCACCTCGCATTCATACATACTTATACATACTTATGGGATAATATATTTTTTGATTTGTATACATGTGACCACTGATTTTTTTTTCGTCCATATTTACCACTTCAACTTGTGAAACTGTACACATTTAGTCATTATGACCGGTTACTCCAGGTTAGTTAGGAAAAATGACTTAATATAAGGTAATATATTTATCATTTTGTACACATTTAATCCTTAATATTTTTGTACACATTTAGTCATTAATATTTTTTTGTTTTAAATTTAAGTCATTTTTGTTTTTGTACTCATTCAGTACTTATGAATGATTTCTTTAAGTTTTTCTCACGACATCTTACGTGGGACAATTATTGATGAAGTGTGTGGGGTTGTTGACGTTTATGTGTAACGACTCATTTTCACCACAAAATTTTTTTATTTTTAAATAAGACAAAAGTCCCTAATTATAAATCCATTATTAAGAAAAAAACATTTATTCCAAAATACATTTATCGAAAATCAGAGTAATATAAGAAACACAAAATCCTCAATATTGTTGATGAGTGTGTACGATAATGTCTTCGCCCTACCACGATCAACGATAGAATCTGAAAACATAAACAACTGGGTAAGCATAAAGTTTAGTGAGTTTCCCCCAAAATACCAATACAACAAACGTATTATCATACATAACAGACCCACAATCATCAGATTGGAATACATTGGCCTAATCAGTCATCGGACTGGAATACCAACATACAACAGGTCCAATCAGTCATCGAGTTGGAATACCCAGGATTTGTCGGCACGTCGACTTAACCCAACAGCTTTTCTCGAGCCTCCGTTCCTACGGCTTACAGCTGGCCTAGACCAAGTATATTGGTCTACAGCATATAGCAGGACAATCTCAACCTATCCCACCACTATATGGCTATCCCACGTAAGATGTCGTAAGAAAACCTAAAAAAATCATTCATAAGTACTGTATGAGTACAAAAACAAAAATGTCTTATTTTGCAACAAAAAAATATTAAGGACTAAATGTGTACAAAAATATTAAGGACTAAATACGTACAAAGTGAAAAATATATTACCCTATTAAGTCATTTCTACCGGCTAACCTAGAGTAGCCAGTTATAAGGACTAAATGTGTACAATTTAACAAGTTGAAGGGGTAAATGTGGTCGAAAAAAAATCAATGACTAAATGTGTACAAATCAAAAATATATTACTCTTTTAAGTATATGATCGTAAGTATATATTTAAAAAAAAGATGATGGGAGAGCCCACCATCCAGATAATCGGAACGGCTTGTCGAATCTGGACGCAACATTCCTCTAGGTACTTTTCAATTAGGCGATGGGGTATCAACACGCGTGAAAACCATTCCACATCATTCTTTATATATCTTCACAACTCATTTACTATTGATGGGGGTGGTGTTCACTAGTGAACAAGAGTGAGACAGAAGAGAGAGATAGAGAGAAAGAAGAGAGAGATAGAAAGAAATGACTTTGATTGGGTGTGAGAACCTGTAATTGGCTTCAATCTACACCACTATCACTCCTATGAACATCTCATCCATCTAGACTCCATATAGGATTCTTACGCGTGAAAAAAGAACCATACCCCATGGCCTTACAATGAACGGTGCATCGACTATTGGAAGTACACAGGCCTCTAGCTAATACTTTTAAATAACGATATTAACAATTTACCCACGGCCTAACTGGCTTGATGTGCATAAACAATATTATTTCGTTATAAGTGGTGGAAACCAAGTATGTTTAAAAATTTTATATACATTTTTTTTAATAACTATGAAATGTATATTATGAAAATTAAACGGCTGATCATGTAAATAAAATAATAGGATAATGTAAACGTAAAATGTTAGGATACCTAACAATTTACGAGATTTTTGGAATTTTTAAAAAATAGTCGTTCAATAATTTTCGAAAACATTATGCTATTAGGATAGGATTTAGTTTTTTAAAATTTTAAATCAAAGTTGATATACTGTAAAAAAAACAGAAATTAAAGAAGATCATAGAAAAATATCACATGTCAAATATCACTACAAGAAATGCAGCCATTACCGGCGACACTAATAGTGGCGACAACACCTTTAGCGACGACTTTTCGAAAAGTCACCGCTAATGGTGTTGTCGCCGCTATTGGTGTCGCCGATAATGCCTACCTACCCGAATCCGCGTTTTCACGTTCTGGTGAACATCTACCGTTTGATCATTTTTCTAATCTAATGGCTGAGAAACTCGTGGAACGCACAAACCCAATACCGGCGACAATAGGTCGCCGCTAAAGATCTAAATTGTCGCCGCTAAAGGTCGAAAAAAATGCGCCTTTTTTCCCTCTTTGTATGTCGCCGCTAAAGGTTTGATGTCGCCGGTATTGATTCATTTGTCGCCGCTATTGGGTGTCGCCACTAAAAGTCGACGCAGATTACTCCCCCTTGCTTCCTCTTTCTGTTTCAATCTTCTCTCATTTTGTTCCAACATTTTCTCCGAAAATTATCCTCTCCTCCAACGATTCTCCCTAATTTAACAACATATAGTAGAAGAGATACCATCGGTCGTCAAAAACTTCCCCTCTCCGGCCACCATCACTATTGTTGCTGTCGATTTCCTTGTCCCAGGTTCGTGTTTCCTTCCTCATCTCTTCCTTTCTTTCTACTTTAATGTCTATTTCCATAAGAGTTTGTGATTACTTGCATTTTTGTTTTCAAAAATCTCTTTTCCTCTCTGGTCACCATCACTACCGTCGGTAGTTGCTGTCACCTGCATCAACTACCACCACCATTGTTGCAGCACCAAAGATTCCAGTTGAAAGTGAGAAAAGTTTTGGGAACCACAGGTGCATTTTTTTGTAATTTGTTTTATATGTGTGCACTTGTGTGTGTATTTTGTATATATGTGTGTATTTTATATATGTGTCTGAAATATGTTATATGTGTATGTATTTCATATATATGTGTGTGAAAATTGTGTGTATTTCATATATGTGTGTGTAAAAAAAATACTTATATGTGTATGTATGTATGTATGTATGTATGTATGTATGTTTGTATGTATGTATGTATGTATGTATGTATGTATGTGTTTGTATGCAATTTGGATTGTGTTCATAGTTGTTTTATGTGTATAAAAAGTATGTATATTTGTGTATAATGTATGTATGTGTGTATTTATGTGTAATTTGGAGTGTGTTGATGGTTGTTTTATCTGTATAAAAAGTATATATTTGTGTATAATGTATGTATGTGTGTATTTATGTGCAATTTGGAGTGTGTTAATGGTTGTTTTATGTGTATAAAAAGTATATATGTGTGTATAATGTATGTATGTGTGTATTTGAATGCAATTTGGAGTGTATTGTATACAATGTGTAAAGTACAATGTCATAATGGAAAAAAGAAACAAAAAGCAAGTAGTATGCTATTATTGAAAATGTTATTTAAAGTAAATTACTATAATAGTTCCTATGTAATGTGTATTTGTAGATAAATTGGTAATTATTAGTTTGTTGGTTTGATTGTTGGTTTAACTTAAAAGGTTAATATTAGTTAGGTGGTTTGTTAATTTGATAATTTTATGTTTGGTTTAAGTTAATAGGTGGCGGGAACAACGGTCCGGAGTCAACTGTGGAACTTATAGGAGGGAACAACGGTGGCAGGGATGATGACACGTCGTATTAGTTTTATCTTTTATTAGAGATTGTTGTATGATATAAATTTATAAGAATTTTGTTATTTATTTGGTCTATGTATGGTATTATAAAACTTGGATGTTATGTAATCGTTTTTCTGAATTTAATGTATCGGTTTTTATGCATTTAACGTTATTATGTATCAGTTTTTGGACAGCCGAAAATGGCTGCTTTTAAAAAAAAAAAAAAAAAAAGGCAATAGCGGTGACACGTAGCATTACCGGCGACATTAGCATTAGCGGCGACAGTGAACATTAGCGGCGACTTTTTGATCAATACCGACATGACAGTAGCGGCGACTTAATAGCAGCGACGTATCGCCGGTAAAGC